CCATGATATAGTTTATCTTACACTCAAATTTTATTGCCTGCAATGAAAAAAAACTATGTCAAATATTTTGCAAGAACAGAGTATTTTGCTTTAAAATCACTAAAGGCAAGTATCATTCTGAATTTATTTCCACGAAAACAAAATAGAAAAAAAGCTTCTAAGTAGCTTTATTGTTTGCTTTTCATGAGAAATACCTAATAAAAACTAAGATACAAATACAATAATGTTATGTAGACATGTTATGAATATTTTATTAGTAATCATTCCTTTATTCATTAAATAAACATCAAACTACATAAAGGTTGTTACATTTATACATATGTATCAATTTTATACTGAGTCATATACGGGGGGGGGGGGGGGGGGGGGGAAAGACATGCTTTAAAACCTTACCATGAAATTTTTTAATATCCTAGATAAATTCAAGTTTTTTGAAAGTTAGAATACTAAAGACCTGTATAGCGATTATTTGCCGAGTTCTTGTAAGTAACAAATCCAAGAAGGGTTCCTACTAAGAAAATAAATAAACAGTGGCCCCCTTCTTAGGTGTACAATAAGCCTCCATTTGGGCTTTAACTCAAAATTGAAAATATGATAATCTAATATTAAATAACATAAACCAGTTGAAGCTGCACAGAATCAACTAATGGAGTTGGCCCTTATTTAAAGATCACCGGCGTATATTAGCAGGCACGTAGAAGTATGGCCATAGAACAGTAAACTTATATTAAGAGCAATAACGTGCCGAAAGGCAGAACATGTTCTCCTACTGAAGTAACACAGATTTCAGCTTAAATACTTGTTTCTACATCATTTGCATAAATCATAAACACGAAAACTCGTTCTGGCAGGGAAACATAAGTGGAAATTTGAAGTGCTTAGGAAAGGCTTGTTCTAAAATAAAAATAACTATTAGAAAATTAAAGTAAACCCTACAACTTGCATAAATTTGTACTAAATATCTGTACTGGAAAATCATTATCCAAATAAGGAATTAAAAGATCATCAGTGTATTTGCAAGTTGTAAATTTATACGAATCTATATTTACTATAAATGTGTTATACTTTTTTTTTTTAATATTCTTCTAACTCTGAATATTCATAACACACATCTGGATCTCTCATTTTAAGTAACTTCTCTGATATATTAAGTCATTTAATATACATATGAAAAAGGTTTTATTAATATCATTTTGGAACAGTTTTTTTTTTCTTTTTTTTAAATTATGCAATAATAAATTCAGCCTCAATATATCTTATGGAAGCTAAGTTATATTATGGCATAAATATTCTTTTAAACTTCATACAATACTATATTCCTGTTTCTTTATCCTATAATTAAATTGCAATGCATTCATTTTCCTGTTTAGATAATACAGCAATCAAATCGATGTGGAACTATTAATTTGGCAACAGTATTTTCAATAACTTTTATAGTATTTTTAAAATGGGTAAGTTTATGTCCTCTAAATTCTTACTATTATTTAAAAAAAAAAAAAAAAAATAGCTGCATCATCAATAAGCTTAAGTTACGTTCCAAACAGGCGTGCAGTCTTTCTTCTTATGCCTTGACTGGCAATTTCTTAAAATTACTTTTGAGTTTAACAGTGTATTACATTTCCCCCCCCTTACAGTACATGCTCAGTCAAAATGTTCTTTTCATATTTTTACATACTGCTTATTTATTAAATTACTGATTTTTCCACAGCACAAATCTTTCTATTTAACAACTTTAAGTCCATACAAATCTAGCAAGGCATGAGGTTTGTTGGTGAAGATAAGAAGGTGTTCCCCAAGAGACTTTTAGAAGATTAAGAGTTTTGGAGCACTTTCTCCTCAAACATACGACATGTGGCACGAAAGACTCTTTCGGTCGAACGTTACTCCTAAAAATTTCACTTCAGATGCCACTGGAATTAGTGAGCCTTCAAGCTAAAGCTCAGTCAGGATGGCGATTTCGTTTTCATACAGTCTTCTGTTTTGAAAAACTAAATCCAAATTTCTTAGACCATGTCTGGATCCTGTTCAGAGCGATTTGCATCTGTCTCTCCACATATCTCATATTTGCACCCTGACAACTGATCTTTAAGTCAAACACTTGCAAGTCTGCAACATACAAAGAAACCGAGACTATATGTGGAAGTTCCTTTAAAACAGAATTTATTTTCAAGCTGAATAAAGTCACACTTAAAATGCACCTTTGAGGCACACCTTCCTTCTGTTTGAAATTGTCTGACAAAACAGAGCCAATCCTAACTTGAAAGGTTCTAGCCCTAATAAATTTTTGAATAAAGATTGATAGGTTGCCATGCAAGCAACTGGCATGAACATCTCACAAAATACCGTACTGCCATGTCTTGTCATAAGCCTTCTCAATGTCAAAGAAAACTGATACGAGGTGGTTTCTCTTGACAAAGGCTTCATGGATGCAAATTTCCAGAAGAATCATAATATCCGTTGTTCTACCTTTACAGAAACCACTTTGATATGCGGAAATCACGTTGTATCTTTCCAAGTAATAGACTATTCGATGATTTACTATTTTTTCCAGTAATTCGCATATGCAACTTGCAAGTGCAAAGGGCCGATAATTAGAGGGATTCTTTGGGTCTTTCCCTGGTTTAGCTACAGGAATGACTATAGCTTTCTTCCATGTGCTGGGAAAGGTATGATCTTCCGTATTCAATTATAAAGAGTGAAATGGGCAGCCCACCTATGCCCCATATACCTATGTATATCCAATAATGCTCTCTTCAATTCAAGTGTAGTAAAATTGAAATTATAAAGCTCCGAGTTTCAAGAAATGAATACAAACTTTTCTCCAAGTGATGCTTGGCAGAAAGAAAACCAGTGAACATTATATCTTTAGAATTTGTATTCCAGTTGCACATTATGAAAAAAGGCATTCTTTTACTTTTTTATAAAAAAGGAAACATTAGCGATTTCGTATGGCCCAATTTCTTGGTGAGTCTAGTAAACCACCTGGCGATGACTCTGGTCTGATAACACAACAGTACCAGACAATTTACAGAAAATAAAGTACTTAAAATGTTTATTTTTCACAATAAAAATTATTTATTTGTTAAAGGAATTCATGCTACAGAAATATTTTTATTTGCTATTTAAATAACTAACTGAAGATTATTTTGGCTTTCATAATAAACAATATCTTAAGCCTTCACTAAAAAAGCACAAATTTCCCAAAACTACTATGAGAACAATTTATTTTTTTGATTTTAATGTAAAAACTGTGGTGGTATTTCATACCTGGATATATTGCCTTAATTTCTTTGACATATTTTAATATGTACGTATATGTACGTTCTTACAGATATCACAAGAAATATTCTAGGCCACATATATACGGCCTTTCCACTTAGAGGGTTAAAACGCAAGATACTGTTTTAACATCAAGGCCAATTTTCAGCTTTGTGATAAATCAATTGCAGAAAATGCTCCTTTCATTGTGACTAAGTTAGCGGATTAGATATTACTGAATATGCAATATACGTAATGACAAAAGTTCTTTGCATTTGCCAATAACACTTTTGATTATTATTTCAAAACTACCAAGCTGTCCCTTCTATTACATCACCAGCAAAGAAATTACAGGTTATACAACTTGTTCTTTCTATTTAGTCTTTATGGGAAATAAAAATTCGTCTTCCTCAGGAAGTCATCTTAGCAGATTCAACAATCACGAGCCACATACAATCATATAATTCCCCAAATATTTAAATAGAGAGGGTTATCAGAGTTGCCTCACATATAGTTTACACTTGGTGCAATTCACTATATGTGTGAAGTAAATACTTCACCAATGAAATGAGTCTACGGAGAGTTGAAAGGCTTCTGGGACAGCAACATAATTATATTAGGTTCCTGATAAACCACAGATTTGAAAGACAAAATACAGATGTAAAAACCACAGATCTGAAGGCACCCACAGAAAATAAAATACTTAGTAAAATGAGATTCCATTTATGAGAAAAAGCCAATCAAAAAAGTTTTTAAATATACTAAAATACCAAAAGTAGACTCTCGTATTTATATAAAATTTTGAAAAGGTGAAATGAATAAGTTGAAGAGCAGGAGAGGTCATGTTCTTAATATATAATACTTCAATTACTGCTTCTTTACTGCCATCAAAAAAAGTAATTGTACTTTAATACTACAAGTACAGCAAACTAAAATCAAGATTATTTACAAGAAGAAAAAATTACATAAAAATAATAAGCAAGAATGAATCTCCATAGCCAACCCCAGTATTTGTTAACAATTACTTTAAGAAAACACATCATATTTATTAAAAAAAGTAGTGATCTCTTTCTTCAATTTCAATATATAAAAGAAAACATTATCTAATGTTTAATTTCCAAGTATGCTAAAACTTTGTACCAGATGGTTTGCAAATACAGATCTTAACATCACTCTCAAAACCTTAATGAATTTAAGTTATGAAATTCTGAAACTTTTTTTAAATGAAAGTGCCACTAGAAGAAATTGAGAAAAACCTACCAACTAAGCATTTAATTACGAAATATGAAAAGGTGCCTGAATTAGAAAGAAAAACATTAGAAAAGAAATATCAGCTTTATGAATTCAGAAGAGGATATGAGAGTTTAACAAAGCTGCCACTGGGTGTGATAGACAATTCTGATATCAGATCTGCAAAACACATGTAAATGTTGCATTTTTTTAATTCAGAAAGGTCAGAAGATAAACTTTAGGTGTTGAACTATATGGGCTTCATTTAAGAACACTTTTCATAACATTAATCTGGTAATTTTTCTTATCTTTTTAAGTCAATATCTGAATTAAAAAGAATTCTTTCAAATCCAAATACCATTGAAAAGAACACTCAGTAATTACTAAATTTTTTCAAACTTCACAAAGTAAAAAATTACTATTTTCTAATAATAGTGACTATATAGTCTCAGTTAGTAGAATTGGCATTTTTATATACACATGCAGGTATAAATAAACATATGAAAATTTACCTGATTTATAGCCTGCAGTTTTGACGACATCCACATTAGCAGGTGCAGCACTGCTTTGTTCTGCTTCTGTATCATGGTTAAAGTTTGATACTACTTTAGAACGCTTCTTTACAACTTTGGCATATATAGGAAATGATGAATCAACATCAGCTTCGATAGAATTTGAATTAGAATGGGCGACGAAGCATTCATTATAAGAATTAGTTGTATTGGCATTTTTATCTTCTTTTGCTTTCATATTACTATCAAAATGATCACAAGTTTTTGGAGTCAAAATCCTAGAATTTTTGGAACTATCTTTGGGAGGAATTTCTTCATAAATCTGTGAGTATTGTGAAGAGAAGTTACTTGTACAGTCAGACAAAAATTTATGATTTTGTCTTTCACTGTGTAGACTAGATGAGGTTTCAGACACAGTTTTTGAACTCCTTCCATCCTCAAATTGTACTCCTGCACTATGAACAAAAGAATTATGACAAAATGGTGTGCTGTAGAGTTCTTCATCAGGAGAAGATTGACTAGAGTATCTATTTGACTGAGATGATACATTATCTTTCTCCTGCATGGAATATTTTGATGAACTGGCATCCTCTAAATGAAGGGAATCATTTCTAGAAGAATCAGACAGTCTGCTATTTTCTTTACTCTTTTCCCCAAGTTGTTCAAATATGGCACGAGCACTGTTAAACCGTTTCTGGTGACTTTCATTTTCACCTTGAGTAAAACATTTATATTCAGAATCAGAATCTATCTTATTAGCTTGCTCAGAAATAGTAGTCTTTTGTACATTCTTTTCAGATCCTCCTCTATTTACAAGTGCAACATTAGATGATTTGGAACAATCATTTCGATGAGGCGAAAAAGACTGAAATAAAGTTGCTATGGAACTAACTTTACTTCCTAATCTACGCACAGCTTCAGATTTACAAGCATTTGAAGATAATTTATTATCCTGATTTATAGTTTTCTCCTCAAAATTTGATTTGACTTTACTCACAAAAGGTTGGCTCTCGGTAGTCTGCACAGTACCATCAAGCCACCCTGTGCGAGATCGACTAGCAGCCAGTATTTCAGCTCTTACATCTGCCATTTTAAAGAAGTATTCTCAGAGTATTGGCAGATAAATGCTGCACAAAAGATCTCTGGACAATCAGAAAAATATCTATTGAGACCTAAAATTAAATAAAAATGGTATTAGATAATGAATTAATGCACTTATTACTAACTTTTATTCTTCAACAAAAGGTATATCAGTTAACTATGGCAAAACATAATACAAGTGCCACTCCCACATGTAGTATGTTTTGCATCACTGTCACACTACATATGTGTGTGAGGAACTTCATGTGTCACTAACATATTAGCTACAACTTTTAAAACATATATTTATTAGAAATTAATTATGCTATATTAGCTCAGTTCCACAGCACATGGAGAAAACATTTTTTCTCTTCAGTTAAAGCACATTACCACTTAGACAACTGCAAAAAATTTATTTTTGAAATGCCTTTACTATGTTTTATATAATGAAACAAGTATTTTCACATAATACACTTTATGTCTGAAAAAACCCCCTCTCTTTTAAAAATAAAATTTTAAAATATATTTTTACATTATTGTTTTGTAACAAAAAGAAATAAAAGCAAGAATCAGTTCATATGACTCACTTACATAAACAAATAAAAACAGGTATCAGTTGATATGGCTCACTTACATAAAGCAGAAATATCAAATTTTTCAACATAAATTATCAAACTTGTAAAATCTACATATACCACATCTACAAAAGTCCTTACCCAGTTTTTATTTTCATCACTGTAAGTTGTAGAAGTATATTTCCAATTACAAAACTGTTTGATGCAGATACTCCTACTCTGGCATTTCAAATTAAAAAAAAAAAAAAAAATCAGTTTCAGGCTGTGTTAGGTTATTCAAGTATGGCAAAGCACATGAAAGCTATATGCTTAAAAGACAGGATGCCTTTGTGGATGATTTTAAAAGGAAAACTAGCTCATATTCACCTTGCACTAGGGTAACACCCTGAAAACCAACCATGTAGCCTGCCCATTGACCTTAATTCAAACCAGGCTGAACTACTTGATTCAGTGGCTCCATTTGCCCACTATAAAAATTTTTTTTATACAAGTCAAATATTTTGTAATTTAGTTTTTATAATGAGTATAAAATTTTCCTAAATATATTTTTAATTTTAAAATGCCAAAACATGACTGTTTGTGTCATTTGAAACTTTTTTTGCAATGGGAAGCATATGTCTATGACCAACAGCTCTCCAAATAATGGTTGGGTAAGGATTTCTGTGGATGCCATGCATATACATTGTTTTTTATGTATTTCTCCATATTAAATCTATATGACTCAAAGCTCTTACAATTCCTTTAGCATGCATCACCAATGATAAGTTACTTTTTCTTTTGATTACTGAATAACCTGAAAAATATTTCATAATTTTTTAAATCTCAATTACAAATAAGGTTGGTAGTTGACAAAATTCAAGCTTTGTTGAGCAATATTTCTTATAAAGAAGTTGAATATATTTAAGAGATAATGATTTATCTCCCCTCCTTGGAAAAAGTTTTCTCAGATTGCAAACATTTAATTCAAATTCAGCTATATTAGCCTATTCAAAAACTGTTACTAACTTTTATATAGAAATAATCATAGGTAAATCAACCAATCACACTATAGACTAGCATTTACAGTGAGATTTGTTCTGATTTATAACAGACTGATATTAGTTTTTTTCTACTTTGTAAATATTGCTGAGAGTATTTAAACTGATAATTTAAGTACTAGAATTATAATGAAATTCCAGTTGACATGAACCAAATGGTTGTTGCCCCAAGAGTAGTTTATTTCAGGCTATGTTCTTCTAAAATACAGGCAATTGTTAACAATGCAAAAATATCAAGTAATGCTTAGTTAGCATATGATGCTTAAAGATTATATCACCAGCATAAGAAAATTATTTTCTTCCAACTGCTAGAAATTGTACAAGGAAGCTTGTGAAAACCTTTTCACCCACATAAAAAAAAAAAAAAAAAAAAAAAAAAAAAAGACTGCCTACTAGCACAGTGTTTTAAAGATGACTGAATTAAGCGTATTGTACATTTTCATTGTTCCGTTACATGCATTTAAACTACAGCAATTATAATACTTGGACACAACAGCTGGGCTACATATTGTATACGTAATTGTTTAATCCTCCGAGCGTTACAGGTTTAGCCCTGAAATTTCAAAGTTCCTCAAAATGTCATGAATAAGTGACACTTTCTTGATTTTAATTAAAAAATGACTCTTTCATTTTGTACCTTGATTCCTTTTCTTCCAATATACATCCAAACTGAAATCTGATACATTAAAAGCTAGCAGAAATTTTCATGTATAATGAATGTGGAAGACAACCTTCGGTATGGAATTTTCCAGTCGTAACGCTGAGAGGGTTAACAAGTCTATTATTGGCTTGATGATATTATTTAAAGTTTACACATAGCCTATTAACATGTTTAACCGCTTGCCTGATTATCCTGAGTTCGTATATATTGCAGTTAATTGTTATTCCGAGAAAACTCGGGCGAAGGAAAATTTGTCAGTGCAATTAGTTTTATTACGGTTTTACTCAGCCCGGAAGAAATGAAAGGAAATATTCGGCTTTTATTGGAAGTTTTCCCTATCGTCTCGTATACGTCGGCTTGTGAATTAGTAATGTATAAAGTATGATATTTGCTTTGAAAAAAGTAAAATAATGGCGATGATGCAAGATAGCGAAAGCAATGATTTTTCAGATAGTGATTATAACCTCAAGGCATTTTCCAGATGTTATTCCTGCTACTGAAAAAAAAAATCAATCAAATCCAATGAGACAGTGCCTTTGTGCTCCCGTAGAATAGATTCCAGAGGTAAGCCAGTAAGAAAAGAGACCAGATACCAGTGTACAGAATGTAAGGTATCACTTTGTGTTTGTTGTCCCTTGTTTAAAAAAGTATCATACAACGACCAATATTTATTTTTTTTATTTGCCCGTGATAAATCATTATAGCAAACTAATATTAAAACTAAATGCTTTTACACCTGTAAAAATTAAAAATTCAACTTAAAACCTATATATTTTGTTCTGTTTCGTTTTCTTGTATTTAATAATAAAATTAAAAAATTTGATGATTTTTTGCAATTTTTTTCAAAAAAATTTGTAAGGGAGGCGGTTAAAAAGAAAACCTAAATAGCTAGAGATATACTGAGATCCTCTACTATTATTTACTGCTTATCAGTGCTGTAAGGAATCTTAAATTCAACTTAAGGATGAAAACTTATAATAGTAGATACAGTTTACCATGCAGATGAATATTCTGAAACTGGTATCAGACTTTTGTGGAGTTCATGTCCCATTGTTTATTATGATTTAAATGGTGTAGATAATGCTCTGATGCAGGGCCATCTGAACAGAATCATAACCCATGGACATTTATATAGCACCAATTCCTTCAAGAATACTGATAAATTTAACAAAATATGTGTATCTACATTTACAATGCCACTCTGAAAATCCCATTCCTACTGCTTATTGATGAATTAAGTACCTCTTGGTTTCTTCCACAGTTCAGGACCAATACAAAACATAATGACCCCCCTTTTTTTTTCTTTTGTTTGTTTATATTTATCACCTCCGATCATGACTTTCCACACTTCTTTACCAACTTTTCTGATCCCCACTGCCAAAAGCTTGTTCTAATGAGATGGCCTGAAAAGATGTCATTCGTTTAAGGTATGATGCACACATGCATTAAAATACATTGCTTCAGCCACATAACAAAGTACATCATGAAAGAAAAAAAAAAAAAAAAAAAAACAGCAGCTAAAGATGATTTTTTTATATATTCTTATTTTAAATTTATTTGGCAAATTTGGATTAACCAATGCCAAAATGGTCATAACTTGCCAATAAATGTCTGCCTTCCTGACTGTAACCATTTTCTTCACAACCAGCAGCACAGCACGGGAGGGATAACAAGCCATCTTCTTTCAGATTCCCAATGTGCAATTAATAAGATATGAAGTTACATGCGAAGAGATAATAAATCAAACCTGATGTAATAAATAGTACAGTGAATGAACATTTTTCCTTAGTGTGAAGTTATGTAACAGGCATACTGCAGCCCACTGGGCTCCTAAATGTGGCTTATGTTCAAACAAACAGCACTTTTACTTTTGAGAAATGATTATCATTTTAAAAGAAACCAAGGGTGCTATTTTTTAATTTCTATGACTTACCAAGGTGATGTTACTTTCAGAACACATAAGATCCAGTCAGAAAACAGAAAAGATAAATACACTGGTTACGTGTGGCAGTGATGATGTACATCATATATTAAAGAATAACACTATACATATGTATAATTATAACTTGAACTGGAAGCAGCAAAACATCCATTTTGCATCTAATGAATTAGTTAAATGAGATAGGTCTGAAGACAGGTCTAGTCTCCACATGTTAACGCTTGTGTAGCTGCATAAATTTTAAATTATTTTTGTACAAAATAACTTAGTAAGTTTACAGCATATTCCAAAATAACTTTCATATGTTTAGTGGCAGCTTCTACGCAGCATGCTTTAGCCCTGCTCTTTTGTTTTATTATTTCCAGAGGAATGCATATGAGTAAACGAAACTATCTGATTTAATTTTCGGGGATTATTCTTCACTTGAATGAAAAGCTTTCTCTATTATTGTAAAGATTACTTCCCTTTTTAGTTTCCTCTCATCAATATAGGTTAAAAATTAAAATAAAAAAGAAAATGTTTGTTTTTTCTGTCAGAGAAAAGTACTCGGTACATCACATAAAAGTTTAAAAAATCTATGCACCGTAGGAACACTATATACTTGAATACACAGAGAGACCAACAAAATTCATTTATTTATATTTATGAGATAGCCATATTTATATACAATATCTTAATTAGTTCACTTCCCCCTATTCAAAAACTGCCATGCTGCTTTTAAAATAACATAACCTAGTTGTGACTCTAATTTTTTAACAACACCTATTCACATGAAATTTGGCCACTCCTGTTACAACAGGTAATAGTCAAAAAACGTATCAAAAGTAACAAATTTTAAAAAGTTAGCCAGATTACTAATAAAGTAACTTCAGACTCAAAGTAATTGAGCGGTAGGTTTGATAGAGGTTACTCTAAAAGGAGTAGACATTGTTTAGTAGTTGTAGTTTAGAATATTACAAATGCAGATTATTGTAATTGTTAACAGCTGATTATAACTTGTTTAGGTGGTGGTGATTATGCCTTTAATATTGCACAGGCTACATGTAGCAATTTTTTTACATTTATACTTTTAAATCTTATAGTTACTTTTTAAATGATGAGTATTGTGCCAGGTAATCTCTGTTCTGCAGTTCCTTATTTATTTCTGCTGTTTTAATCCAAAGACTATTTGACACTACTGCGTCAATCTCTTTCTCAATTTTAATAATCTTTGTGGTCAAAATTGTGGTGTTACAGATGGAAGTACTATCAAATATATAATATTATTTAAGAGCTCATTTTTTTCAGTAGTGAGTAGGATTCTTTTAGGAGTAATTTTTATAAATCAGATCTACCTATATATATATTTGCTTTCTTGATTTTTAAATTATACAGCAGATTGTAAAACACTGATTGACTGGTATGTAAATAAAGGTTTAAATGGCTTGTTTCACCTCAAAGTAAATTACACAGTGATATTTAAGAACACACAGTGATATTCAGAAACCGGAGCTCATATGAATATTATCCAATGTATGTGGAGCATAATAAACAGGGATTTTTGAAAGAAATGTCTCTGACAATCAATCCAACACTATGGAGGATATTTTTTATTCTTACTTTTAGGAATTTATGTGCCGATGGCAGTATACAGATTCTAGTTCAGATAATTTTCAACACTTTTTGGATGTTGTTAAGGAATTATGTGTGCTACACACTGAAGACACAGAAATTTCTAAATAAGTAAGTTGACATTTCCTTTTTGTACTGCACAGATTAGATATGCATTTTCCTTTTTATGTTATCATTTTGTTTTAATTTAAAATGTAGTTTATTGAGATTATAATATTTTCATGTTTTGGATGGCATTTTACGTGGGAGGGCATTGCACATAAACAGGAATAGTGCCAAAAAATTCAGCAATTTTCGCCAAGGCGTACCCTGAAATACATTTTCCCCCACTAATATATACTGTTATAAAAATGTACTTTTTTACTTTGTTCATTAGGCATCTATGATTATAACAATAATTTCAGTTAACAAGTCAGGGTACACTCCTTAGCACTATATTCTACAATATTATTTTTACATATACTATTTAGCTAATGTTAGTAAAATCATGTGTAACATGTGTACTTTAACTAATCGGATATAAATTAAGGATACTTACATATTATTACAACCATTTCAATATATGGCATGCAAAGTGTGTTTTATTGATTTAATGCATCATAGAATCTGTATTTAATAATTAAAATTTGCATTTTAAATTGCAAAAGAATGTTTTCTTTTGATATGTTGATAATATCTGCCATCTTATGATAAATGTCAATAATTTAGAAATCTTTCAAAAAACTTACTTAGTATGAATTTATTACATACCTATAAATTCAGCAGCAGTTCTGTCACTAACAAATTAATACTAGAATCTTTATAAATACTAAGCTAGATTCTGTTCTTATTTTATATACATATGTCAGCTAATTCTTAAAATGTTATCTGTAGTATGTGTCTACATGCACTTATCAAACACAGAAAGCATACTACAATATGAACACTGTCACACTGGAATAACAGACAAATTTAGTTATTAATTACAAACTTGCAAACATTATACAAGTTTACTCATTATACAAGTTTTAGAGTAATAAATTTCAGTTATAGTATTTCATTAGTTTTTTCAACTGGACCCATACTGATAACAGATTTCTTGGTTTAATCCTAGTATCCGGTGCACAAGGGATTTGGCTACTTTATAATGAGCAGTAAACGGGACACATACGATGAGTAGTTAAACGGGTTATTTTGGTGTTGACGATAATTTTCAAAAATTGCGCCAAGGCTGCACCGTATACTAGGATTTTACCAATTTTTTTCCTGGCTGATCTTTACAATATGGTAACTGGTAGTTTGGCAACATTTTGGAGGCGATAAAGGTCCTGGGTCTTTGGTAATAATGTGAGCAGTACTCAGTTCCGATTACGCATTATTTTGTGTGAGGAAAATGAGAGATCATGTGATATGTCATGTGATATTAATGGACGAATTACGGTTCTTTAATCAGAAAAAGGGGGAAATCGGGAAAAAATCTGGAAATTCTGTATTTGCCTTTATTCTGTGTTGTGTGAAACAGTGTTCGTTAATTATTGGATCCCATGGCCCTAACTAAAGTGAATTCGAAATGGGTATTTAGTGGGATTGAAAGGGGTAATAAGTGTTTCTTTAAGGTTGTGCAAGATAGAAGTAAATATGTTTTATTAAGTTATTTATTTTACCTGGTACCTTGGTGTGAACTATAAGTATGATTTTGAAGATCCTGAAACAGAAATAAGAAAAGTTTATCGGACACGTAATCAAGATTCTGAAGAAGAATAGGTAAGTTAGTATTTTTAATTATTTGAGGATATTATTTTTATGCATTGTTCTAATGTAAGGTGGAAGTAAAGTAATTTGCGTAAACGTGCATGGAAATAATTTAAATATTTGACACTAAGTATTTGTAACCATTTGTAATGAAGTAAAGGTATGAATTAGTTAGTGAGTTTGTAATATAATAGATAATGTAGAGGTAAAAGTTTTTGGATATTTTATTTATTTTATACGAGGAAATGTTCATATTTAGAAAGGGTATGTACTTTTTCGCGATCAGGTAATTTCATATATGTTCTTTTTACCGGGTTTAAAGATTCAGAAAATTGTTATGCATTTTCGTGAAATTTTTCTAATTTATGAGAAAAAAGCAGTGTACATGGATATAGTGAAGAGTGTGCGCAATGCCATTTTTGTGCAATTCTGGGATGTTTTTTTTAAGTAAAAATAAGTCGACGTGTACATGGTTTAGTGATATTTTAATTAAATGATAGTTATTTTGTGAATTTTATGTTTGTAGGAATTTGGTATACGTTTAAGTTGAAGTAAACGTGCATGAAATAATTTAAATATTTGACACTAAGTATTTGTATGCTTGCGGTATGAATTCATTGGTGACGTGTATAATATAATAGATGATTTAGAGGTAAAAGTTTTTGGATATTTTATTTATTTTATATGTGGAAATGTTCATATTTGGAAAGGGTATATACTTTTTCTCGATCAGGTAATTTCATATATGTTCTTTTTACCGGGTTTAAAGATTCAGAAAATTGTCATGTATTTTCGTGAAATTTTTCTAATTTATGAGAAAAAAGCAGTGTACATGGATATAGTGAAGAGTGTGCGCAGTGCCATTTTTGTGTAATTCTTGGATGTTTTTTTAAGTAAAAATAAGTCGGTGTGTACATGGTTTATGTGTATGTGTTATTTTGAAAAACACGTAAGAAGTATGGTATTGTGCACTTTTTCCCAATTTTGCAGTGAATATTTGTCATGATTAAGCAGTTTTGTTAGATAAAATTTTCTAGCATAAGTGTAATTCGGCTAGTAGATTGTTGGAAGAAGTGTTCAGTAGATAAAAAGAAAAGAAACATGTCTTTACTTTGTGAAGACAAAATAGTGGCAGGAAAAAAAAAATAGAGGGTTGCTGTAGGAGAGTTGGTCGCCAAATTTTCGCCAAAAAAACGCCAAGTTACCATAATGTAAAGATCAACCAAAATTTATGAGACTCTGCTGTATAAGTATATTATTGTAAGGTGAAAGCTGCAGGTTTTTCAAAATTATTAAGAAACATGGATAGGATTTAAAGTCAAAACACAAATAAGTATCATAAATGTGTTAGTAAAAAATATAGAAAATAAACATTGTTCAGTCTTAAATGCTTTACATTTTCAACAATAACTTAATAATCACTTATAACCCAACAAATGTACTGCTACAACAAAAAATGAGAGAAGGCTCCTTAATAAATTTAAATAACATATGTTTAGGTTTGCCAATTCTTTTTGAGATCAAGATAATACCCAACAAATGTACTGCTACAACAAAAAATGAGAGAAGGCTCCTTAATAAATTTAAATAACATATGTTTAGGTTTGCCAATTCTTTTTGAGATCAAGATAATAAGAGTAAGAGATTAAAAAAGGTTTTAGCAATGCTGCAAGAGCATATATTTTAATATAAAATTATTCCCTAGGGGAAGAATAGTTTAAACTGCTTTAGAACTGCTTTAGGTGCAGCCCTAGGGGAAGAATAGTTTAAACTTTTATATTGAATGATTTCATTCAATATAAAAGGGGAAGTTTTAAAGCTTTTCTCCCAATATACATACTTTTATATATAAGGCAAGAAAACCACCAATATGAAATTCAAAATTAAAACAAAACACAAAATCAGATCAACATCAGTCTTTCCAAAATTGAATTCTGCTTAATTTTAAATTCTTATATTATTTATAACAAACATTTTAGGTTTAAATAATAAATCTAAAATTTCAAACAAAAATAAAGCATACAATATTTTCATTTCTTACTTCAGTCTGCAAACCAACGGCCAGAGTTTTACATCTTTATCATTACAGGTAACCATTTTAAATATATGAGACCTGAAATAATGCATATGTAATGTAATTATTCAAAAATCTGAAAAATAAATGAGCAAAAGACTTGCTTCAGTTTTATTCAAAAATTAAAAATAAATCTGTATTCATTAAAAACTGTATAATTATGACCAGGTATGGAAAGAATAATAAAAACTAGATTAAAATAGAAAACTAAAATACTATTAAAATAAAAACTAGATTAAAATTCTAGAAAGATATAAATAATTTTTATAACTTTTTTAAAAAACTACAATTTCCATTTTAATAGACTTTTTAATTATACGAAAACTATTTCCCTCTTTGGCAGCATTATCTTTTGATTGGAAGTAAACAAAAAATCATCAATACCTTATGAAAACAAATTAAACAAGATTTTATTCGATTTACAACTAACAAATTTTTCAACTTTCACATTTGTTAAATATTCGAAATTACCGACAGTAAATTTTTCATGTCCAGTACTGATAAATGTAACAAATTTAAAAACCGGAGAAATACAATGTTATTTTCCAAATTTAAATCTTTATTTAGAGCATTCTCAAATGATAAATAAAAAATTAAAGTCACACTTCACTTAACATTAATTAACATTTATAAAATGAAACTTCAATACCCAAGCATATAACTAAAGAAGAAACATTTAAGGGGGGGACTTTCAACTCACTGTAACAGCCGACGTTAGCTTCCCTTTTAAAATAAAGTATGAAGAACATACAACACAATATTTGTACTTAAATCTGATCGAAAATTTAATGCCTCAGTTTGTCATTCTCCATAGAAATCGAACACATAAAGCTAATATACATGATATTGAAGGAAGAACTTGTAAACAGTAGCTGCATTTTGGAAATAACGGATTAAAGACTTCGGTTGCAGTTTCTTAAATATCGAAACTTATTAACACTGTTAATAATGTAGAATTTTACTTTCACAAAAGAAAAAAAAAAGTGAAAAAATGATGAGTCTTTTATTTACAAAACTCAATTTCTGACTAGCTCTAATAAATACGATATAATGTTCAACGCTTACGTTCATATGAAGCAGTTATTAAAGAAGACAATATTTAACTTTGAAATTAAAAGAATACAAAAACTAAAGTTTCGAAATGGAAATATAAATTTATTTAGGTATTTAAAAAAAATTAACTCGCTAGTTCAATCAGTTGCATATGATCATTGCGACATATTTAAAAAGCAATGAAACTCCCTGGAATTTCGATAGTTGTAAGACAGTTACTGAAAACATTCGTTGTGTATAAATTTCAAATATAATTATAGTTTATATAAAAGAATGGCTTAGTTTAAGTAATAGTTCAAGAATGGCAAGCAGTATTGCAGTTTTCCTTTTTTTTTAATCAAGCAATAAAGTGCATAAATGGCTTAGAATATACTAGAATATTGTTCTGAAGGCATGTGCCTTTTTTTTTTTTTTTTTTCTTTTTAAAATTGCACTTTATTTGTTATCTGTCTAAAAGTTACTTCATTTTATATTGGCACTATTTTTGTAAATTAAGACATGGCAATAGTGATAGTATCTAGTCATTCTCTGTTGCTATGACAACGGATTATTATCTTCCAGAAAGTAACATGGCTGAATCACGTTGACATTTGTATCTTAAATTTGATAGATGCTATGAGAATATTTCGTATGAAAACCAATACGGAACTGATTTCATTCAATATATAAAATGACTGATACAGAGTCTAGCATTAGAATTAAACGAGATGTTGAAAATTCCAGCATCAGTGCCAAAACCGAAGCTGATAATCCCTCAAAATCAGTAATGGTTGAAACTGTTAAACCTGTTAATACTAGCAAAAAAGGCCAAGTTCGAAAGCCGCCGGATCTTCCTACTTTAGAGCGGCGTAATTGGCTGATACACTTGCACTTCACGCGTAAAGAATATGAGACATGTAAAGCAATAATTAAAGAACAACTGGATGAAACTCAAGGTATGTGTGAATATGCATTGTATGTCCAAGCACTTATTTTTCGTCATGAAGGCCGAATTCAGGAATCTTTAGAGTTGTTTCAAACTTGTTCAATTTTGAACACATCAGCAGAAAATCTGAAACAAGTTGCTAGATCTCTTTTTCTGTTAGGACGGCATAAAAATGCAATTGATGTATATGAAGAAGCTGCTAGAATGAATTGCAAAGATTGGGAACTATGTCACAATTTGGGTGTATGTTATATGCAAGTGCAAAATTATAAACAAGCATCTGATTATTTCCGTCAAGCTCTTCAAATTAGGCCTCATGATGAAACATTTACCGCTTTAGGAGAACTCCATATTCTAGAAGGTGATATTAAGGCAGCTATTTCAACATTTCGTAAAGCAGTAGAATATTCACCTGAAAATCCAGATTTAGCAGCAAAGTTAGGTATTCTTTATCTACAACATGGAATGTATCAAAAAGCATTTGAGAAATTAGGTACAGCAATGACATTTGATTCATCTTGTGTTCCTGCTATATTAGCAGCAGGAAGTATCATACAAAATCACAGTGATTTTGATGTTGCTCTTACTAAATACCGTATTGCAGTTGCTAAAATTCCTGAAAGTCCTGCTCTATGGAATAATATCGGCATGTGTTTTTTTGGTAAAAAGAAATATGTTGCAGCCATTAGTTGTCTAAAGCGTGCTACTTACCTTGCTCCTTTTAGCTGGCAAATACTTCAGAATCTAGGATTAGTACATTTGACAATGCAACAGTATGCATCTGCTTTCCACTTTCTAAGTGCTGCTATGAACCTGAATTCTCATAGCGGTCAATTATTTATGCTATTAGCTGTTGCTTTAAAATATCTGCATGATGTTAAAAACTCATGTCAGGCTTATGAACAAGCTCTAAAGCTTGATCACGTTGATCCTTTTATTCCTTTAAATTATTCTCTTCTTATGTATGAAATGGAAGAAAAAGATAAAGCAATTAAATTATTGATGGACTTCAAGAAACGTTGTGTTGAAATTTCGAATGGAAATGAGAAAGTGAAATTACAAAGTGCACTTTTTATTGCTGAACATTTAGCTGATCTCCTTCATATCAAACCATTTCAGTTGCTAAATATGAAACGCAATGATTCTGATTCTCTTGATATCACAAATACTGTTTCATGTAAAGATTCTATTCCTCAGACTGAAAACAGTGAAGAGAATTTTGAAGACAAAGAAGTTCTTGTGTAATTTTTCTAGTAAATTCAGTTATATGTTTTAAGCACTCAAATTTCATATCATTGACCTTTTAGTTTAAAATTGGATTTTGTATACTTAGTAGCTGAGGAAATGAATCAATATATCAAATTTTATTGTAGCTTTTAGCTGAGAACATGTGCTGATATTTGCTTTTGCTCTAGGAATTAAGAACATTTCTGTATGGTAGTAATATGAGTAGGTTTTTAATCATAGTCACATTATTACTACAAAGAAATCTTTTGGAAAACTACTTCCTTTTCACATATGGCAATATGTAGCTTTAATTTCATGTATATGATTTTATTTAAAATTCAATAAGCTTCTAATAAATTTGCATTTAGACTTATGTTTTAAGTATTAGCTACTGACTTTTTGAGTATCATGATTTCTTTGCTAAATTCTTTATGGAACAGCAGCTAATAGTTTGATTTATTTAATTATGGCAAAGCACTCAAGGGCAGTCTGCCTAAAGGAAGGGACACCTTTGTGGAGGACTTTCTAAGATTTCAGGTATCCATGTTACACATGAGGGAAACCATAAAAATGTCCATGCAGCCAGCACATTTGTGTGAAATTGAACCCAGGTCAAACTAGCAGCGCTTAGCAACTTTACTGCTCGGCAGCTGGTGGGCAGGAGTTAATGTATTCAATTTATGTACGCAGTGAGTAGCAATAGATTATTTATGGGAAAACCTCAGTTTATTGGAATTTCAATGTTTATTCCCTCCTCTCTATCTATGTTATATGAAGGAATGCACTAATTATTAATAATTTTAAGAGCGGGTGGTTCAGTGAGGTTTTATCACTTCAGACTTCGTGCCACCTAGGGGTGATCTGTTTACTGATTCTCTCAGCAAACACCAGAAAGTCTATAAAATGTCAAAGTGACATAGAAAAATAAATAAAAGCTATGTGTTTACTTGTTAAATAAACTTTAACATTCTAAAGTGCTATTTTTATGTTTTTCTGATAGCAAAATCATTGATGATATAGAAGTTTGTTTCATTACTCTAATTGTTGCTCTATAAACAGTATAGTAAGATTTCTGAAACACAAAATGCTCGTTGTTAGACATCAGATGCTTCTTAATTGATCTGTATATTGAAAAATTTCCTCCCATAGTAAATAACACTTACAGCTATTGTGAGAAAATTTGCAGTAGTATTACAATATTTAGAACTGTGTTTAAAATAACCTGCAGAAGATTGAAACAATTGTCAGTCCACCTCTTTGCAATAACAGAAATAAAACTTAGTACTTTATGATTGTCCCCCTTCCCAATTAAAAAGTTGTGAACTCTATGGTGACCAATTTTTTTTTCCTCAAGTTAATGCACAAAAGGCAGTGGCTAGTTTCAAAATGGCAGTACACTAAGAATTTCATACAAGAGCAATCAATCAATAAAACTGAAAAAGGAAAAATCATCAATAATAGAACATTTGGTTTATCTATTTTTAAGTATCCTTTCTTTTGTTTTTGTTCCCCATGCACTAAAGGATGTGTTTTCACTTTTATAAAAAGTCAGAAAATTGCATACACTCACCACTGTGCATTGGCCAAAACAGACCATTTCTATGTGCATACTTGGATTGCCATATAAATACTTTTCACCAACATTATGGGTTGCCTCATAACTATTTTGCCGACTTACCTAAATCTGAAATATTTCTCTCTTAGGAAAGAATTCTTCCTTATTTATATTACTGTGGTCATAATTTAATTAATATTTGTATGTTTTATTCAAATGTTGCAATGGAGTATTAAAAACATAATAAGAATGTGAAGTTATTGAAACCTCATTGTGACTCCTTTGAATATTCTGACCAGTATGGAAACAGCTCTTCTTCAATTAAATTTCATATGATAAATCAGCATCTTGTGAAATGTGTCATTATCCGTAACTGCACGCATCTGCTGAGAAATTTGGATGGAGGCTTTCATGTAGTCAATTCTGAAGTACAATTTGCTGAGTTTTTCTGGTAAATCATCCATATTCAAATTTTTGTTGGTAATTCATCTTTAGGAAGAATTAACCCAACACAGCTTTCATACAGAGGAACTGTGGCTACGGGGCCACTCTCATCCATGTGTGAATCATCATCGCCATTAGGCTTACTCACTTCGGAGTCTCGCTCATATTCGAGCAACCTTCGTGCAAGTATATATTGAAAAAAAATGTGTTTCACCTCAGTAATGCCTGTGTGATTAAGATAGCTAAATATTGGTAGTTTGACCTGAAGACATACCAAAGAACAGGTTAGTTGCACAGGCATGTAGTTAGGATGATGCCCGGCACTCCCTTCCCCACATCACCAAATTATATCCAAGCATAGAGCAATTTAAAAATTTCTGAAAAATAAAAATTACAAAAGCATTTTTTTACTTGGATGCATTGAGATCATATAAAATATAAATTTAACTGATTAGCAATGATTTAACATAAAACTCGGCAGCTCTTCCCATAGCAATAAAATGCCCGATGCCCATACTGGGAAATGCAGAAAGCAAAAATTCATGCTCTTCTAGAAAAGTCAGTGGAAATAAAGAGGCATCAGTTATTTCAAAATTCTACAGGAATGACTGCCATAACTTTGGTGAGATATCCGCCAATTTTCACGATTGACAAGTACGTTAAGTATAAAAATATTTGTGAAATAAGGTCATTTTTCTAGTATATGTATCAAATGTATGAGATATTTCTGGAATACTTGTCAAAATATTTGTCATCTTTCTAATAAATTGTTTAAAATTCAGAAATTCATTCAGTCAGCTAGAGATTATTAAAATATCCGCTAATTTATGAGGCTTTATTGTTTGCATTTTTAAATCATTAGTCTTCGTTGCTTTCATTTTTTAAGACTTTGCATTTTTACTATATTTACTATAGTTAAGGGATATAATGTAATTTCATTCAGGTCCGCTTCACCATTTTTTTTTAAATATTTTCTGCTAAGCATAAAATTCCATTAAATTTCAATTTCAATTCCTGACTTAGTTAAAAAAGTCCTTGAAAGGATTCAGATGTATAAGAAAATATAATTAAATAGTAGTTTTTTTTTTTTTTTTTTTTTTTTTTCTTTTTCCCAATTGCTACATTTAAAGAAGAAAATGCATGTGAATTTTGGTTTAAAATTATAGGCTTAATGCCATCAAGAGTATGAGAGGGGTTCATACACATGTCCTGTAATTCATATATATAAATTAAATTTCATGTTATGAAATATCATTATATGATTCATGCTGAATAAATTATCTGCAGTTTGAATAACAGTTTGCATTGCAATAATGCTCTTAACAGTAAAAAAAAAATTACATTGCTAAAATTAAAGAAATAACAAACGTATATTAATAACCGATTCTCCAAGATGAATATTTGTCTTATGGCATCCCTCCAAAGTTAATTCATTTTTATTAAGCCATAGATAACTTCTAAGATATATAAGAAAAAATAACAGATGTAGAGGACATATGAGCTTTAAAATTAGACAAAATTCTATTTCATGTTGACATTAAGTTAAGAGAAGTTTCTCTATGCAATTTTAGGTAGTATGATACAGATGTATCTTCTTTGAAGTGTAACAAACCAAGCATTTTTGTAAATCACATTTTAAAATTAATTACATCGTGAAATAAGTATTAATACATATGTGGTTGGTGAAGAGAAAGAGCTTTCAAAATCATTATTTCATAGTCAGAATGTTGGAAAATTCCATTCTGATTAGAAAATGGAATAGAAATCATTTTTCATAAACAGAATATGGGCAAACCAGATAAAGACTGAAATAGATGAAATGTACAAAAGGTGTAAAAGGCCATTTTATTTAACCCCAATAAAAGTTTATCAGTTTTTAAATAGTTAATATGATCTGGAAAGTAAAACAATCTTAAGACTAAAGAAATAGTAACTTAAATCTAGCAGAGAAACAATATTCAGAACAGCTTAGTATCTGCCATTTTTAATAATTTAAAAAGTATTTTTAAATTTCTGTCAATTAAAAAAAGTCTAAAACAGAGTTTTTTTTAATTATTATTTTATTTTACTTTTTATATAAAGAGCTGCATCGAAATTGATGCTTTTAGCTGCTGCATTTCCAATGGAAGTGACTGCCAAACTGTTAAGTTTTACTTGGCTAACATTTGATTAAAGATAGCTTTTATTCAACTTTGAAAAGCTGCCTTTTGCAAAAAGGAAATAAAACACATATCGTCAGAAACATCTTTAGTGTGAAATATAAGTTACAGAGTGATTTTGGAAATCAATTTCCGCAATATACTTTAACATTTTCAATGCTGCCACTTTTTAGTTTCAACCTTTTTGCATTCCTATATATAGCTACATATACTTAAAAGCTTAAGTTTCTTCGAAGGCCCAAGACAGTCTCTCCTCCCCTTTGGTATGCACCTGCCCAGAGCTTAATTTCTAAAATTGGAAGCGCCACAGCATTATAGAAACTGAACCACCCTAACTGTAGGGCTAAATAGACTACTGGCAGCTTGGTTATACAGTACAAAGTCTTTAATCCGGACTCGTCGGAACTTTGGCGATTCCAGATTATAGATCATCAATTTAAATCTGGTAAGATGACATGCAGAAATTATAAAATTAAAAATATGAAATAAAGAGCATTAACCATAATTTATGAAATAAAGAGCAATTATGATCTAAAGGGTATCAAAATTTACAAAAAAAATTTAATATTTATTTGTTTACTTTATTAAACATTTCTTTCAATGCGCGCATACGTAAAGCATACATTACACATAGTCGAAATTAGAAAATTGCAACTAGAAAACTATTTGATGTGTATTCGTGATATTTATAATGACAAGGAATTTAATTTAAATCATATCAAAGACGGAGTACATCGAGGTGAAATACTACATTTAGTAAGGAATTATAAGCTGAATAAAATAAAAACATCTGCCCTGAAGATGAGGATAGTGCTGACAGATCAACTTCCAGTTCATTACGCGCCACGTGAATACGCCAGCGTGAAATCGATAAACAGATTTCGGAATGGTTAGAGAAACAAAAGATATGCCTTTATCCATTTTTTGAAGCAATTCCCCTTTTTGTTTGATAGACATCGAAACATGCTTTCGCTTTGTAGATCCTTTGGCAGCTCCAGAATCGGAAACTCTTTTTGACATAATGGAAAGTTCAAGCTTACTTTTTATAAAATTGCTCTAACAGTCTGCAAAAATTAATAAGCCGGATGCAATTAGAAGATTAAGGAACAACACAATCTGCAACATTAACTGAAATAGATAATTTTAGCCTAGCTTATACTGTCCGTTATACGTTAAACGTGCATGCATAAACATATTATGAGCATGCGTAAAGGTATTGTGTTTACGCATGCACAGAAAGTTTGCAGCTTTGAGGTCCAGATTATAGATCATTCCGGATAAAGACTGTGTACTGTACTATAATGGTTGACATTAAAGTATATTTGATATAGTTCTTGTGCTGCAAATACAAATTTTTTCTTCATAATCTTGCGGTTATTTAGTAAACCAACTACTTTTTTTCTTCTTTTTGGATAAGTGATATAACGTTTCCTTAAGAAATCCTTCAAGCCAAAAGTGTGTATTTAACACCTGTGTAATCTGGTATAATCTGTTTGAAATAATAAGAGTTTTATTCATATTGAATTATTAACTATATCTAAATAATTAATATTAGTTCTATAAATATTGGAAACAGTTTATTTACCAACATCTAGAGCTTTAATCACCCCAGAAGAAACAAATTTTGGCGCTCTCTTATACATTTTATGAAATAAAAAAAAAAAAAGGCATAACTCAAAAATAGATAAAAAATTGCTGAAAAAGTCTTTTGTCCTTTCTGTTGCTACGTAGAGCTGGCAACCTTAAGAAGGTATTGATTTGTATTTTTTATTACTATAATCAAATTTTCACTGTCTCAGTCAAAATTATATAAAAGAAAAATGCAATTAGAGTAATTAGATGTATATATTATGTATTAAATTACTTACTTTTGATATATACATTTGTTCCGATTATACAATACCCATTATTATTACAATTTATATATCTAATTGTGTGCTTACTATTTAACTTTTGTTTATTGTAATCTAAAAACCTGAGATAGTTTGGGCACTCTAGGTGATCTGCCTCTGATGACATTAACTGGGCTGTGTGAAGACAGTATATACCACATATATATGATCTTTTGAATTGAAGAAAGAGAGTTTCAATGAATTGGACAATGGTTCTCTGCACATATACCTTGAAGAGACTTTAGTGCGTAGTTAGAAAGATGGATGCATAAACCAAAACTTTCAGACGTGGCCATTTTGAAACATAATTTTATTCCTTGGTAAGGCACATTAAATCAATTTTTCATAGTTAATTATAATAATTTTTATGTACACAGGTTGAAAAAGTATGATGGTCCTTAGACAAGTAAGGTTTTGCAGAAGTTAAGAAAAAGAAGCAACGTAGTTACTCACAAAGCAGTATTTATACTAGGTAGGTGCCTAAGTATAGCTAAGCTGTGACTGGTTAATTTTAGGTTTTAGTTCCCTTTGCAAGAAGTGTTATGTAACTTGGAAAGATCTCGAATTTGGGAGAAAAGATGAACTTAGAGGAAGAACATAAAATTTAGAATAATCAGTTTTGAGGTTGCCAATTATTTCTTAGCCTAGCCATCATATTTTATTATATCCTACATATTCCCCTTGTTTTTAAATGTGATATATATATATATTTACCCATGATACAGCTGTACAATTTCACTTAGATTCGCCCAAGAACGGCGTTTCTGCCGCCCTACCGGTATAGTGGTTAACGTTGTTGACTGCAGTGTCGAAGGGCCCGGGTTCGAATCCCAGAGAAGGCATGGGTGTTTGTAAATGTATAGTGCGGTGCGGCATGGCAGCACTCTAAATATGCGGTGAGCCGAAATTCCTCTCATGTGGTATGGTGGAAGGGGAGAGAGATCCTTGGACACATTCCCTCCGGAGTGCTCTTCATCAAAACTGGGGGCGGAACTGCACTGAATTGCACTGTCTCCTGAAAGGTGCTCAAGGCAGTTGCCAACGGCATGCGTAACCTAGCAGTCCTTGCCACGAGGAATTTCATGGGCTTGGGCTGACTACATCAGATATTAAGCCACAATAACAGAATGGATACATCAGATATGTGAGCATAAGCAACAACAAGAATGTCATTCCTAGCTGATTTACCCACTAGCCAGTTAAATCTAAGACGTAGTGGCACAGATTTATCTCCACTGAAGTGAATTTAACTTATTCTTCTAGACTGCTATTTCTCAGTTTCGGCATGTTGTTTTCACATAGTATATTGCATTTTTAATTTTTGCTTAACATGTAATGTCATCTTTACTCCCTAGCGTTAATTTTAAAAATAATTTTTTATTACACTGTGCAGGCAAAGCTAATTATAGAATATGAATGAAAAAAAGGTTATCTGCCTTTGCCCATTGTAAATTGAAGGAAGAGACAAAGCAAAAAGCTTTTCTGGAAAAATGCCTACAGTAACAAATTTCGTTAGGATGGGCAAAACAATTTCTAGGAAATTACAGAGTTTCAGAAACATGAACTAGGAGAAGAAGAAAATCAACAACAGTGTAATAACAATGTTCAACAATCAAATGAAAAAGAAAAAGAAGATAAACAAACACAACAGCGAGACATGCATCAGTGACTTCCAGAAGAACATCAGAAAAGAGAACATTTAGATGAAGATGAAGCCTGCCTTTAATATG